CGTTAAAAAAGAGAGAGGAAGAGGCTGGATGGCAAAATAGAACCGCACCTGGTTTAACGACACAGGACACGGTGCCCTTGTAGGTAGACGGGGTGACCTGAACATCTCCAATGCCAGCTCCACCGGGAGTCTGTTCCATGGAGAACCAACCCCAGGAAATGCTCGACAGAACCAAAATAAAGTAATACTTAGATATTAAAATTTATAAATAAGTGAATTTAATCAAATTAAACAAAATTTTAAATGAGATGATTAAATTAAATGAAAGATCACGGAATCAGATGAGACAAGAAATGCCGCACAACCTTCCCCTGGGGATGCTGGTGAGCGTCTGGTGTTAAGAGACGCTGGTGAGCCTCCTGCAAAGGAACCTGATTGCCTTCCTTCCACCTGTCTGGTTACCAAACACACACAACCACAGAACACAGAGTTTCTGGAAACTCCTATGACCACCTGTCATTCAGCAAACATTCACTCCCCTCTCCCATTGGTGTTGGGCTTGACCCTGTGACTTACTTTGGCCAAGTCGTGTTGGGCTTGACCCTGTGACTTACTTTGGCCAAGTGGTGTTGGGCTTGACCCTGTGACTTGCTTTGGTCAGTGAAAATCTAGCACATTCAATGGGAGCAGAACCCTCAACCTTGCTCGCGTGGCTCTTGAGCTCTAGTGCCTGGCGTGAGCATGAGAACAGCACGTCCAGGTGGCAGCCCCTGCCCCATAGGCTTGGGCCCCAGAGCGAATACGGACGGGGCAGACCCACAGCCGCCAGCCGGCTGCCGCATCCAGGCTGGAGCAGCCAAACCACAGCCTACCCAGAGGTGTGAGAATCGGCACTTGGTGCAGGCCGCTGAGTTTGAGGGCTGCTCGTTACACGGTGTTACTGTCACAATAGCCAACTAATACACCGTCCTACAGAAAAACTGTCCTACGAACTGCACTGTGAGACATAAAAAAATGGCATGAAAGAAACACTCTGTGGAGGGCACATCCTTAGGTGCTGGGAGAAGATGAACGGCCCCTGGTAGGAGCTCCAGACACAAATCTTAAAATGAAGTGTCCCGGAGAGGACAGGCTCTTTCCAAGGGAGAAGCGGGGTTTAAGAACCAATTAAGCAACCCAGGGGAAGAAGACCGGCCCAAGGGATAAACAGGTAAGTCCCAGAGAAGGAGACCTGAACGGTCAATAAACGAAGGACGGCGTGTCAACCTCACGAGGAATCGAAAACGCAAAACGAAACGACGCTGAACTGCGCTCTCACCCGCTGGAGTGCAAACAGTTAAAGTCCGATGGGCCCAAGACGTGGAGCAGGACTCACTCCGCGGACAGGCTGGCGACGGAGAGGAAAGGGAAGCTGGGGACCCACGCTGGACCTCGCGCTCACGGAGCCCCGCGGGGACAGCAGACCCGGGGAGGGGCCCACAGCCTGAATCAGCCGGCGGGCGGACCTGCGCCTCGCGGATAGATCACCGCAGACACGCCGGGAGCAGAAGTCCGGTTGGAAAGGCAGCAGGACACCATTTATATTAATTTCTGAAACATGCTGAGCAGCGTAACACACTGATTGTGGACAGACACACGCGTGTGCGTTTAACACAGAAGCAAATCCGCTCCGGGTGAGGCTGACGGTCCCGGGGCCGCATCCTGGGAAGGTGGACCAAGGTCAGCTTCCACTCTGGCTCCGGGTGCTCCCGGGCCCCTCCCGGCCCTCAAACGGCCCCCCTCGGCTGGCCTGCACCCGCACGGCCTTAAAGAGCAACAGAGCAGGTGGCATCCCCGACAGGAAACAAGGGCAATCCTGCCACTTCCACACGGTCCCCACACAAGTCCCGAGACAAAGAGGAGAGCAGGTAATGATCACGGGAGACAGTGTCGTGAGCGACGAACACGGGGCCTGCTCAGCCTCACCAGGAGTCCGGGGGATGCGCACGAGTGAAAACCACACCGCGGTCTCGCCCGGCCCTTAGGCCCGCGAGTGGAAGGCGGTCAGGCCCCTCGGCGGGAGGCAGGGTGCCGCCCCAGGCGAGGCTCGCATTCCCNGGCGGTCAGGCCCCTCGGCGGGAGGCAGGGCGCCGCCCCAGGCGAGGCTCACATTCCCCCCGGAAACGCGAGGCCTGCGGCAGGCCCGTCTCTCTCTCTCTCTCTCTATGTATATATCTATACTCTCCTCTCTTTAAAAATCAATAAAAACATGCTCTCAGGTAAGGTTTACAGGCATAAAAAGATAAGACAAACAAAGTCATTGCACCTCGTGGGTGGGGTCGTGGGTGAACTTTCTAGAAATGACTCATGCGTCTGTATGTGTTTTTTTGTNTCATTGCACCTCGTGGGTGGGGTCGTGGGTGAACTTTCTAGAAATGACTCATGCATCTGTATGTGTTTTTTTGTTTTGTTTTGTTTTTTACTGCCCTGACCGGGAATCGAACCCGGGTCGCCTAGGATCCTAGGTCGATGCTCAACCGCTGAGCCACACCCAGCCGGGCTCTGTAGGTGTTTTTAATAAAGGAGAGAAAGCGTCTGAGTACAGAGACAGTGATGAGGAAGGAACACGGGAAATTAGAATCTGCTGATTTGCTCTGGCAGAAAACCAAAGGTAGATGGTGCGCTGTCCTAGGACCTATCGTGTGTTATCTCATCCAGTCCTCGCAACCTCCCACGTGGGGTATTTTATCCCGATTTCAGGAGTAAGCAGACTGAGGCTCCTGGGAGGAGACGAAGCCCCCCTAGGGTTGGGGCTGGGGTTGGGGCTGGGTTGGGGTTAGGGTAGAGTTAGGGTTAGGGTTAGGCCCCCCCAGCCTGCTTCTGGAGAACTCTGAAGCCCATAAACAAGGAGTCCCGGTCCCCAGGCCAGCCCCACTCCACCGCAGCCCCCACGAGGACCAGCAGCAAATCCTAACTGTACCCGACGACTTTGTCCACAGAAGCACAGGGGACACCAGGAGAGACCGTTAGCCATTCAGACAACATTTCAGACAATCTCATCGCCTGTCCCCGGCCGCGCTGAGATGCTGCAGGGCCCCAGCCTTCCCGACAGCTCGGCGGGCGCCCGTGCCGGCTTCGGCCCCGTCAGCGCCCCTGACACGCGGAGCGAAGCGAACAAGGGAGCTCAGGGCTCGGGATCCTGACCAGGGGAAGGCGAGACTCAAGCGTCCCTCCACTCCAGCCAGGGGTCCAGCCATCCCCGGACCACCCACCTAGCAGGAGGGGCCCCTCCACAGGCTGGCCGTCCCCAGGAGCCTCCCCCTGAAGCCAAGTACGGATACAAACCCTCAAGAGCAGCCGAGCAGAATTCGCTGGAACGGCACCACGCACACGATCGTTGGCTCCCGTCCCAAACCACCAGCGGCCTCACCCAACGCTGAGGGGGATCCGAAAGCGGCCCTCTGACCTCTTGCTGGACAAGTTGCTTCAAGGCACAGATGAAAATCAACCAGGGCATTAAGTAAGGGGTAGGGGCAGGGAACCGTCTGTCCTTTATTTAGGGCTGTGGCTGGCGGCCGACCCCGTCCCCCAGGGCCGGAGGTGCAGGCCGAGGAGCCCTCGCCGAGGAGCTGGCTGCAGCAGGCGCTTGGCCCAGGGGTGAGAAGGCTCAGGGCTCAGGAGTGGCTCGGTCCCCAACCTCGGCCTCATGAGCACCCAGGTGACCCAGCTGGCCGGCCCGGCGAGAGACGGTTCTTTACACAGCAAAGGAAGGACCCAGCTCGAGGTGCAGTTTCAACAGCTTCCCAGAGCATCCCAGAAAATTCCTCAGCGAGAACCAAAGAGTCACCGAGCCCTTCAGCTACAGGCCAACACACAGGCGACTCAATCCACTCCCAGTGGCCACGCGGCAGACCAGCGGTCCTGACCAGCAGGCTCAGGTTGTTGTTTTTTACGGATTTCAAATGGAAAAATGAATTAATTATTACTTGAGAAACACATCTTGGGGACCAAAATGGCTCCGTGAGAGTGGGAGCGGCGGTGGGCCACAGAGGACACAGCCCAGGGCCTGGGAGCCCCCGGCCCCTCCTGGGGTACAGAGGTGAATGCTGAGGATGACCGTTGCCGTAAAGCTTTCTCAAATCCCCCTTCCCGCCTTCCTCGCTTGAAACATCAAAGGGCCGCCTGACGTTCTTGGACCAAACTCACATTTCACAAATAAAGAGGTCTCCCCGGTTGTCCGGGCCTATTTATTTGCCAAGCTCTTCAGCCGAGCCTGAAAGAAAGGAAGCCGCCCGGACAATGGGGCCGTTGGCAGGGTCAGCGGGCCCCGGAGCTGCGCCCGGAGTTCAGAGCACAAGCTCGGGAAATTGCGCAGCGACCTGAATTCACACTGGGAACCCGCTTCATGGGGGGG